CGTTTTTCTGGGTTATGTGAACGTTAGGGGAAACATTAAAATAAAGGAACGTTCTATTTGATCATTTAGCAAAAGTAATGGGGAAATTACGTTTGAATGTTTGAATGTTCTCTAAACCCTCTGAAACTAGCAAGTAGCCTCGGGTACATCCAACTAAAATGTTTCAGAAAAACGTTCCATGAATGATGTAATGTTCCGTCTCTTCAAGACGAGATCACTTTGAATGAACTTTCTATTAACGTTACCGGCAGAATGTTTGTTCACAGCTTTGAGAGAACCTTGCCAGAACGTTAGCCAAATTGTGACAACGTTCCCTGTTAGCTGGGTTCTGGCGCATCTAACGCAATAAAAGAACAATTCTGATGCTTTGTAAATCTATAGTAGAGAAGTATAAGGAAAATGGCAGTACTTATGTTCTTTCCAATGTACCCTCATAGTGATCCTACAAATGCTTGAACAGCTTGCTCTGATTAATTAATAATGAATCATTCCAATAGGGCTAAATGAAATTATTGCATTACAAATTTTTTGTCACATTGGTTAATAAACTTTGGGTTATGAAAGCAGTAAAAAAATATTGATTATTAATCGGGCGGTCTTTTATGGGTTGCTTTGTTTTAGGCTACTTATTTGCACCAAATTAAAACAAATGATATGACGGCGCTCATACTTTTAATTTGTTTAGCAGTAGCTACATAAATATTATGACTGTTATTGAAAGAAATTCATGATAAGAGAGATATTCACTTAAATTTGACTTTTCATTGTCTATCTATAAATACGAATGCAATTATAACAATGTTCAATAAAGTTTTGCTCATGAACATTTGATGGCGTCATGAATTTCTATTACACAAAAACACCTCCCCAGAAACGGACTCCAGGGGAGCTTCGCCTCTCACACAACTGAGATCGCCCCCTACTGTCAAACGTTGAGTAGGCCTATACTGTACAGATTCACAGGATTTGACGCACTCTTGTCAGTGTCACTGGTATTGTATTTCCACACGTCGATGGCAGGCTGAAAGATTGTGTTGATGACACATGTCTCTTTTGGTCAGTGTTTGTTTGACGAGTCTTGGGGGACTGGAGGTAGGTGAGAGTGCAGGGGTGAGGGGGGTCCCGTTCCCGGAGCGACACATGACTCCTTCAGATCTCCGGACGTGATGGAGGAATCCTGTTCGGGATCCACTCCTCTGGCTCTCCTCTTGTCCTCCTCCTTTTTCCACTTCATGCGTCGGTTCTGGAACCAGATCTTGATGTGTCTCTCGGTGAGGCTGAGGGTGAGCGCGAGCTCCACGCGGCGCGGGCGCGAGATGTACTTGTTGAAGAGGAACTCTTTCTCGAGCTCGAGCAGCTGCGCTCTGGTGTACGCCGTCCGCGTGCGCTTGTTCTCCTCGGCTTCCACCATGTAAGGTCCTAAAACAGAATAACAGTAGTGACATATTTTAGTAAGGTCATGTTTTCGACACAGACACACCATCTGCCTCTGAGGATATTACAGTTTGAAAGTTATCTGAACGTTTGATCAGGGCGTTATATATATATATATATATATA